TGATGGAAGAAACGCAGATCTAGAGACATGCCTTTTTTGCTCTTCATTTTACTGTAATCGTAGAAAAAGTTGACTTGCCTAGCTAACCTTGACTTGCTTTTATATCTGCAAGTCCACTGATGTAGTATGCTTTCCGGCGCTGTGTGCTCTGCTTGGCTCTGCTGAAGGTCCTAACAGCGTATAGCCCGAGAAACTAATCTTCCAAAGATAAACGAGGTTATAAGTGCTTGTGAAAGTCTGTCTCTGTGCGATGTTTCTAATAAAACATAAATAAAACTGAAGTTTTACTTAACGAAAATGGGTCTCTTTCAGACCTTTAATTTGAAAACTGTGTCAACAATTGATAAGGTATCTAGCCTTTGCTGTCCATTTTCTGTGTTTTCTTCCTCCCAGGGTTCTCAATTTGTGGCTGAAACCTTATCTTCCTCCCTCACTGTTCCCCTGTTTAAGGATTCAGTTTATCAGCAGAATCAAAACCATTCTCTTGTTTATTTTTTTCATTTTTTCCTCCCCAAATAGGTGACACTAAAGCCTGAGCCCCCCTTTCTCTGCCTGTGTGTGAGGGGGAAATGCTTTTGAATCCCTCTTAAACATGTAAAACAGGCTGTCTGAGAAGTTCAGAGTTTCCTTGGGAAGACCCAGCAGTGGGGCATACTGTGCAGATGTGTCAGACCGGGCCGGGAAGCAAGGAGGAACGCAGTGGGTGCTGCTTATTTGAGTGAGGAGGGAGGTTCCCGCCCTTTTTCTTGCCGCCCTCCCTGCTCCCCTGAGGCAGGTCAGGGTGCGGAGGCTGTGGACATCCTTGCTCTCCCTGCCTGGACCTCCTTGCTCCCTGCCTGGACATCCTTGCTCTCCCTGCCTCAACCTCCTTGCTCCCTGCCTGGACATCCTTGCTCTCCATGCCTGGACAGCATGGCCAGAGGGAGGGCGAGCGGGGCCAGCGCTTCCCCAGTCACAGGGCGGCTGTACCCTGCGGAAGGCCCCAGTGTACCGCTGCAGTCAGCCTCCATGCGCCTTGCGCACAACGTGGACTCGTGTCAGGCTGAGGGGGCTCAGGACCATCCACACGGCAGTGGAGGGCTGCAGGCTCTCGCTGTGCCTCTGCCATTGTGCTCGGTGCTCGGCGCTTCTCTGTGCCTTGAGTGGTGACAGTTATTTCAGCAAGTTCACCTGGTAGGATCCACTTTTATTGTCTTACTGTAATGTCATCTCCTACTACTGTGTGAAAGTCATATCCAAGTATTAAGAAAAAGGTGTGGAGTGCAAAGCTTTCTTTCCATCCGTCAGCGTTGCGTTTGGGCCCTCAGGCATGAAAGCTGAGGGGAGCAGCCATCTTGTTGCAGGGGCCAGGCGCTCATTGGGTGCTTGTGTATCCACATGCTTCCTAGCACGGAGGCCTTGGCTACAACTGTAATAGAAATATTAGATAATTTTCATAAGAGAAAATTATTTCCTCCTTTCCCAGCTCTTGTTTCTTTGGAAATACAAAACTGCCTGCGAGTATCGGCTGTTTTCCCTCAGATGTTACTTGGTTTGTAGCCCTGTTTCAAAGGGTGGTATACTCCTCAGAGATACTTGAGACTTTTTAGATCAACCTTTCAGAAAAGGCACGAGAAGCACATAGTAGCCTGTTTCATGCTATTAAAAGGGTGAGAGATCTTACTGACAATCTCATTGACTGCACACCACAAGGAATATTTGGTGTAAAAATACTGCAGTTGATAAAATATTGGTAACTTAAATGCACAAATGATACTGTATTTCAGGAGCAGTTCCAATTTAATGCCTGATGGAACAGTGTCACTCACACCTGTTTACAAAATGCCTCTCTGTCTAGATTTGTGCATTTAAAAACTATTGCTGAGATAGCAAATCACTCTGAATCTAATTAGGTAAGTCATCTCTATAAACTTTGCTTGCTCAAATGTGGCCCTATAAAAGAAATCAAAGGGCAAGCATTTTTCCAGTCGGTGGAATGAAGAACTAGAATTTGATGGCTAGTATGCTCTGCCTGACTGCTACAGGATGCTCCAAATTGCAGGTAGTTCTTCTTTGGGAGCAAGGCAGTGAATGCTGAGTAAACTGGCATGATTTCAAAGGCCAGGACCATTTTTGCTGACCATGGGGTAAAAAAGAAATGAGTCTCCTGTGAGATCTAGAAGCTTAGGGATCTGGGAGTCCTGGTGGACAGCAGGATGACCATGAGCCAGCACTGTGCCCTTGTAGCCAGGAAGGCCAATGGCATCCTGGGGTGCATTAGAAGGGGTGTGGTTAGTAGGTCAGGAGAGGTTCTCCTCCCCCTCTACTCTGCCCTGGTGAGACCGCATCTGGAATATTGTGTCCAGTTCTGGGCCCCACAGTTCAAGAAGGACAGGGAACTGCTGGAGAGAGTCCAGCACAGAGCCACCAAGATGATTAAGGGAGTGGAGCATCTCCCTTATGAGGAAAGGCTGAGGGAGCTGGGTCTCTTTAGCTTGGAGAAGAGGAGACTGAGGGGAGACCTCATTAATATTTATAAATATGTTAAGGGCAAATGTCATGAGGATGGAGCCAGGCTCTTCTCAGTGATGCCCAATGGTAGGACAAGGGGGAATGAGTGTGAGCTGGAACACAGGAGGTTCCACTTAAACTTGAGAAGGAACTTCTTTACAGTGAGGGTGACAGAGCACTGGAACAGGCTGCCCAGGGAGGTTGTGGAGTCTCCTTCTCTGGAGACATTCAAAACTCTCCTGGACACCTTTCTATGTGATCTCATTTAGGTTCCTGCTCCGGCAGGGGGATTGGACTAGGGGATCTTTTGAGGTCCCTTCCAATCCCTAACATTCTGTGATTCTTTCTAGAATGTAATTAAAATTATTTGTTGGCATTGTTGATGATTTTTTAAAAGAAAAAACAACTTTCTCTTTTCTGGTATTACTGGTTTACTAATGTTCCAGATAGAAATAAATTTGCAAACTCTGGTGTTGATCCTGGTCATTTGATTGCAGGCTTGCTAATATGCAAGGTCAGTCACTCTCCATGGAGATGTATTGCAATACTTAAGTCTCCAGGACTTTGAAAATCAGGAGTACCTTGAAGAATGATGCTTGGCAGTGTTGCAGTGTCTTATAAATAATTTCCCACCTAGCAAATTGAACACGTGATAAAAAGAAAAAAAAATAAATTGAACTTTCAGTTGCTGCTGATAAAATTTTTAGACTGTTACTCTAAGAAGTATTTACCTTCAGAAGAAAAAGAAATAAAAATAAAATTTGCTTCTCCAGATCTTTGCTGTCCCAAAGGTGTGTGAAGAAAGGGTCCAATTTTAATTTTTTTCAGGTCAGATCTTGATTTAGTTTATTGTGTTTGCTCTTTGGAGTTTCCATTCCAATAACACAACAAGAAAAAATTTTCCTTTGATATTTTACACTTCATTGGCACCGTTGCTTTGAGTATCCCAAATTACACAACAAATAGCAGTAGTAGGATTTAATTTGATTTGTACTAGTTTCTTATCAGACCTACTGTGTAACACAGACATTGGCATATGGGGCTATAGAAGTGTACCTTTGGGCAAGTATTGACTTAAATACCTACTAAGGAAGTAATGATGTTTCCAGTGTGTCTGTAGGTGGTTTCCTTGGTGAGGTTTCCAGTCATATGCATAAGGATGACTTTTACTGTTGCTTATACAGAATTCCCTTCCTCAGATTTCAGAGGAGTTTGTCTAAGTCGGAGTCTGAACAGTCTAGTTAAGAGTAAGATAAAGTCACTAAATGCTTCCTCATGTGGAATAGCAGTCAGACCTGTACTAGGCTGTGCTAGTTCCTTGGGTGCAAAGATCCTTATTTCTGCAATTTGTAACTCCATTTGCACAGCATGTAAGCATCTTATAAAAACAACCATTTTGTTATTGCAGTGCATTGATAAGGAGTAATGCAGGGTGTTTTCCAAGTGAGAAAGAGATTTAGAATGGTTTAATTAAAATAAATTGTAATTCAGTCAAAACTTAAGCCAATGTTGACATCCTGGTAAAAGAAAAGGTTCCTTGCGAGGTAGAAGCTTTCTTTAATAAACTACTTGCTTTTAAAATATCTTTTTCATTAATATTAGAAAGGTATTTATCACTTCTAAAATGGGTAATGCTTGTTCTCTGAACACTGCAATGACTGTTTATAAAGATTGTTTCTCAAGTGCAGTTTTTCTTACTGCAAAGAGGGGTGGTGAGCTCTTCAAAAGCGCCAGATAGAGAAGCAGATTTGGGGTTTTGACTGGGAGATTTCTATCCTGTTCCTTATAGGGAAA